TGCATTTCGATCTCGGTGAGGAACAAGTGAGGCCCCGGGTAAAGGGGGGGGGGGGAGGGGGGCGGACTGGACACACCTACCGCACTCGCCGGGCTGCACCCGCCTGGCTGCATGGCCGGCCGGCGCTCGAACAGCCCTGGCGGTAACGACGTTTTGCATCGGAAAGCGGAAGGCAGAGGGTGGACGGTGGTGGAACTGTGCGCTCCCCCCCCCTCTCTCTCTCTCTCTCTCGCTCCAGGCATTGGCGGCGCCTCCCTCCTCGCTCCACCGAGCCCGCCCGGCCCGGCCCTACAACCCTTGACTCGCCTGTCATTACTCGGGCAGTAAAAGTAAGGGCCCGGGCCGGCCTTGCTCGGCCTTGCCTGGCCTTGCCCTCGGCGTGGCGGCGGCGCAAGGAAAAACGCCCTCTTTAGGTGACCGCTTCCCAACAGTGAGCGCCACACAGTGAGCCAGAAGACCGGTAGTCGCTAAATGCGACTCGAACCGAACGTGTGACCCCACCAATGGATCTCTCTCCGAACGAGGAATCCATTGGTGGGGTCACACGTTCGGCTCGAGTCCTGTTTGGCGACTCTGTCGCTCAAAACGCGTCTGGAGTTTTGGCCGCCTCCACCGGTCTTCTGGCCCACCGTGCGTGTGGCAACATCGCTTCTCCTTTTCATTTCCAAATGAGCTATCCGACGCTCGGCGATTGTTCGCGAGAGGCAGACACCCACTAAAACTGAACTTTTCGTCGGGTTGGCAGTTTCCATCTGCGCGTCTGCGCGTCTGCGCGAGCGGACGGTCGCCGGACAGTCGCAAAACAGGGAGATCGAATTCGCTGGCGGTGCCGCTAACTTTAACCGGTTTCGATACGGCCTGGGGGCGGGCGGGGCGGGGCGGGGCGGGCGGGCGGGGCGGGCGGGCGGGGCGGGCGGGCGGGGCGGCGGGGCGGGGCGGGGGCGGGGCGGGAGGGTCGGGCGAAGGCGGGGCGGGGCGGGGCGGGGCGGGGCGGGGCGGGGCGGGGCGGGGCGGGGCGGGGCGGGGCGGGGAACTGGGTGCAGAGTGTTCGGCGGAGCGCAGCACAGCCCGCCCGCTACAAGCACTACGAGGCCGAGGCAGCAGACTCATTCCGAGAGTCGTGCTCGTCGCTGTCTCTCTCGCACTCACGGGTCGTCCCGTATAGATGCGAGAGAGACAGCGCGATGAGAACGACTCTCGGAATGAGTCTGCTGGGCGGCAGGGCCAGGCAGGCCCAGGCAGGGCGCAGGGCTCGCTACAAAAGGGGAAGTTCGGTCGCGGGCCGGGACACTTTTGCCCACCTAGTTTGTTGGCGCGAGTTGCGCTGACGCCACGGGGGCCGACGCGACGGACTCGAAGGCCTCGCCATCAATCAAGGCGAGCAGGACGAGCGGCACACTGATAATTCCGAGAGTCATTTTCGTCGCTCTCGCACTCACGGGGCGTCCCGTACGGGTGCGAGAGAGACAGAGAGACGGAATGAGTCCTGCAGGACGAGCTCGACGAGCAGGGCGGAGCAAAGGCGGAGCGCAGCGCCGAAGCAAGGGGACTTTGCACAAAGGGTCTTGTGTTTTCAGTCTACACTGCCGGGGACCAGGACCAGGGCCCGGGGACTGCTCCCAATCTACCGGGCCACAGTGGGCCAGAAGACCGGTGGAGACGGCCAAAACTCTAGACGCGTTTTGGAGCTCGAGAGTCGCTAATGGGACTCGAACCGAACGTGTGACCCTATCAATGGATTCCCCGTTCGGAGAGCAATCTATTAGTGGTGTCACGCGTTCGGTTCGAGTCCCATTTGGCGACTCTGGAGCTCAAACCGCGTCTAGAATTTTGGCCGTCTCCACCGGTCTTTTGGCCCACTGTCCAGCCCTGCCGCTCCGCACCTTGTACCGCGTTGCGTTACGTCCCCTTCACTGGCATGCAAATGGGAGGGAAAAGCCTTGCAAAGTAGGAACAGCAACACCCCGGCCTGGCTGGCTGTTCCGAAGGGTCGCCTCTCGTACGCGGCGCCGTGGCGAAGCCTTGCTCGGCGGTGAACAACTTCACGTGTTGAAGTTTCGCTGTGAATCCGCGCCGGCAGGGTGCCCGCTGCTCTCTGAGCCGAGCCTGCAAAATTCTAGTTGAACCGCTGTAGCCTCGCTAGCCATAATGCCCCGCCACTCGACCCTGCCGAGTGGCCCGCCCCGCCCCCCCCGCCCCGCCCCGCCCGCCCCGCCCCGCCCCGCCGTCAACAGGGCAGTGGCGCTGCATGGAAATGCCACTTTGCCACGCGCGACCCGCCAGGCCCGCCAGGCCCGCCAGGCCCGCCGGGACACAAGACACTTGAGGCGTCCCGTGCCGTCCACCCTCACACAGGGCGTGCCGTTGTGCCTGCAAAGCACCGGCCAGGGCCTCGGCCGCCTCGACCGCCTCGGCCAGGGCGGCGGAAAACTCGAGCACCCGGGCCTCGACCCGGGCACTGCCGGTACAGACAGCCCCCGCTGGCTGGCAGCACACAGTGGGCCGGAAGACCGGTGGAGGCGGCCAAAACTCTAGACGCGTTTTGCGCTCCAGAGTCGCTAAACAGGCCTCGAACCAAACGTGTGACCCCCACCAATGGATTCCTCATTCGGAGAGCAATCCATTGGTGGGGTCACACGTTCAGTTCGAGTCCCATTTAGCGACTCTGGAGCTCAAAACGCGTCCGGGATTTTGGCCGCCTCCACCGGTCTTCCGGCCCACTGTGCAGCAAGAACAAGGGCCCAGGCCAGAGTTCTGCAATGGGTGGGTCGGCTCGACCCGCCGCCTGGGCTGTGCGAGAGAGAGCGACTGTGCACGGGTCTTGGCGAAGCGGCAGCGGTCTGGCCATCCCCCCCTGCCAAATGTTGTCAAACTGTTCCGGGACGGTCCCCGTCACCGGCCGGCAGTGTCGCTGGCGGCCCGGCGAGCGGCGTTGAGGTGCGCGCTTGCCTGGACGAAGCGAGCACATCATGCGTCTCTCTCGCTCTCAAGGCGGACCTATGGGAGAGACAAGGACGGCTGCGGCCGAGCGGCCGCTGCCGTGGCTCGCAACGAGCCAGCCGAGCCTAGCGCGCTGCGGACACGGCTCCGCAGCGGACGTCGAGCCTGTGCGGGGACCCGGGTGGAGAGTCTACCCGCTCCTAGAGCTGGGTCGGGTCCGGACCCGACCCGTGCACACCCAGCCGGGCCGGGTCGTGGAACCATGGCCAAGAGCGCAAGACGGCGGCGGGTCGAGAAAACCCACCCATTGCAGAACTCTGGCCCAGGCGAGGGCCCGGCGCCCAGGGCCCGAATGGGCCGCTCGAGCGCGCAAGCGTGGCGTGCGCCCGTTGCGGCCGCCGCTCCATGCGTCCATTCCAGAAGGTCAGCACAAAAGAGCGAGAGTACCGAGAGCTGCAGGTCGCTCTGTCTCCCTCGCTCTCGCGGGCCTCTCCGTAGGGGTGCGAGAGAGACAGAGCGGGGCGCTGCGCGCGCTGCGTCGGTCCAGCGGAGCCGCGGACGGGACGGCACACGAGCCACTCAACCCTCCCTTTGCTGGTGCTCGCCTGTTGGCCCGCCACCGCCACCGCCCCCCACATTCCGGCTGGATCCAAGTTTACAAGTTTGGAGAAGGCGGAGGCGAAGCAGGCGAAGCGGAAAGTGGCTAATGACGAACGGGGAGACTGATGCGCTAATGAGCAGCATGCTGGCAGCACGCCGGCGGCCCAGCATCGCGAGCATCAACTTCCCCAATCTCACACGAGTATCTGGAGCGCATGTGAGGTACAAACTTTTCAGTTTGTTACACGAAGGATTAGTTTGTGAATGTCGGAGATTTTTCTTTGAAAGCTTATATGAATATGCTGACAAAATACTTTGTTGAAATGACAGGCTACTATTGTTTGTAGGTGCGGCCTAAAATAAACTATTTTTTGACATTTTGAGAGCGCCCCTTTGGCTTTGGACACCGGCCCGTTCGGGGAGGGGGTGCTGCTTGTTTATACGTGGCATCATCGTGCTTCTCGGGCGCGACTTCGAGTCCCACCAAACTTTCCAAGAGAATCCTCGAGACCATCCTCGAGACCAGGCTCCAGGGGCTGGGGCGGCCGGGGGCGGCAGGGACAGGGGCGCCGAGGGGGACTCGCGCGACAATGACTTGCGCGATTCATACTTTGGTCCTGTCATGCGGAAAAAAACAAGAACAAGAAGACAAAACTCCGAGGTGTCAAAGCTTTCCTGCTGTTTTTTTTTTACCGTGCGTAGCGCAAGGTAGCAGATTTTTTTTTAAAATAATAAAAACAGTTATGTGGTGGGTCGGTGCCGGTGCCTACCTCAACAGTCGACGTGCCCACGCCGAGTTCAGCAACGAATCCGACAGTGGCGGTGCTGGACGTCCTGGCGCTACACTCACACACACACACACACACACACACGCTGGCGCACGCACGGACGCTCGGCACGCAGGCGGGCAACGCCAGGCAACGCACGCAGCGTGAACGGAGTGACGGGGTGACGGGGTGACGGAGAGGCACAAGACGACCTTCCGCGGCGAGACGGCGAGAGGATGTGAAACGGGGACCAGGCGCCGCTAACGCCCCCCGCCGTGCCTTGCGCCCCAGCGCGCCCCGGGGCTGCCAACCTCCCCGCGGCAAGGCGGCAAGCGTCACACGCCGCCCGAGAGGGTCCGACCGGAGAAGCAGCCACGGCAAAAGCAACCCAACTTGGCAGTTTGACACTCCTCGCTCTCGCCGTTGCGGGCTCGACACTCTGCAGCGAGCCGCGCTCCGTTTCCGGAATTCCCTTCCGGTCCACTTCCGGTGGCGGACGCGGCGTGCGAGGGTGGCAGGACTGGCGCCGAGCCGTTCCGAACGCGTTCCGAACGCGTGGCGCGAAACGCTTCGGCCGTTTCCGTCGCCGCCCGACCGCGGCGTCGGAGTCAGTCCGCGCGCGCTGGCGCCAGGGTGGGAGGGAGCCGAGGCGAGCCGAGCGCAGCCGCCCGGCCGGCCACCCCCGCCGCCCGCGCCACCCCTTCTTGATCAATACGGAGGTGGCGGCTCTCGCGGCCCGCGACTGCCCTCCGAGTTGGTACGCGTCGGTGCACAATAACGGTATTTGTCGGCGCTTTGCTGCGCTTTGCGCTGTGCGGGTACCTCGTGCCCTTCCCAGTCGACCCGGCGAACCTTGCCAAGCCAGCGAGGCCGCGGACCGCACTTCCGGCTGGAGGTCCTCGAGGCCCGGAAGTCGGACTCTCCGCACAGCACCAAGGCCGGCAAGTGCTTCTCGGCGGTCTTCTCGACCTCCTCGTGGGAATCCGCGTCCTGCAGGACATGACGAGTGCAGTGCCGACCCCCCACACTCCACAGCACCGGCAGGATTGAGACAGCGTCCCGCAGGCAGCGGCCGCAGGTGACGATGCCGGAACTTAACCTCACTTTGTGCTGCATCGTAACCTCGCTCATCGCGTCAGCTGTTACCATCGCCCCCGCCGACAAGGTCGTCTTCTCCTTCCCGGAGTTCCCCTACAAGGAGACCGGCAAGAACGTGAGTAGCTGTGAACGGAGAACGCGCTAAGGGGCGCGTGAAGCCTTCCTTCTGCGATTCATTTATTTTCCTTTTCCTGTGTCCAGGAGATGGCCTTCCACGAGTACGAGTCGGCGTGCGAGCAAAGTCCTTCCTGCAGCCAGCTCGCCTCCATCAGCCGCGTGCGGTGCGTGCGGGAGTGCGTGTCGCCGTCCTGCTACTCGGAAATCTACCAGTCCGACCAGGTAGGGGCAGACACGCAGTTAGGAAAAAAATAATTAAAGTTTTATTATAACTGTAAAATTTAGGCTTGATTTCAACGATTGCAGTTGGAGGAGGGCGAGATAGACGTGCGGCTCAACTCCTTCAAGGGCTGCTTCGTGCAGCGAGTGCATCGCCAGCGACCTTGAACCAAAAGACCGGAAGGAAGTTCCACCGGAAGTAAGGTCACGATCGCACAAGAGAAGCGGGGCAGTGCCCTTGGCAGTGCCCGACATGGACGTCGATTCGATTTCAAATTTCAAAGCACGAGTTCGTTTAACGTTGCAGGGTTTGTTCTCATTAGCGTAGCTACAGCGTAATTAATTAGCAATATTCGTGTTAAGGTCGATTTAAAAGTAATCTAAGAAACCACGTTCCTCAATAATTAGGCTTGAGTCTCTGCCTTTGTGTAAATAAGGTGCCAACTGTAGTAATGTCGTTGCCAATAAGCGAGTTGAGTGGAATTTTTTCGCCAACATTTGCAAATCCATTCTAGAGTAAGGCGGTGAGGTGCTGGTCGGTTCCCGCGATCTTTTCCCTCCTCTGTACAGTCGCAGCAGAGTAACCTTGGGGCCCGGGTCTGACACCGGCGCCAGGCCACGCCAGGCAGGCCCGATATAGAATACTCCTTATTATCGGCCGAGGGGAAAACTCCCCAAGAAGGCCCCAAATCCTGCGGGCCTGTGGGTGCCTGTGGGCCCTGCACCGAGGGCACCTCAGCGCAGGGGCCGCTCTTAAACGACGCATGCACTCGTTTAAATCACGCACGCACAAAGAGGGACAACCGTGTATCTGTTTGACGCGATTTACGGGCGGCCCCTGGTTAAGCAAGAGAGCTTCCCTCGTAGTTTCTATTGCTCTACTTTAAGTGTCACGTGATACTACCGACATGTTAAGTCTGTTGTGCTCAAAGCAATTTGGAGTGAAATTCTGTGATTGATAAGGAGTATCAGTATTAGTTTGTATCACCTTCGTAGGAAAAGGTTTAGATATAAAGGTAACAAAAGTCTGTTGATTAAAAAAAACATTGTAACTGATTTTTTGTATTTACTGATTCTATTATGCACAGCCCTTTCTTACAATCATGATACCAATCACATATGGATAAAACAACCGAACAGAACAAATTTAAGTCCACATGCTGTCATCATTTCGTAGCTAACCCTTTCACACTTGACATGAGATTGGGTGGAAGGTTCGCAGTCACTCGCAGCAGCTGGAAAACGAAAAATAAAAACCAATGACTAAGCCTTCATTTTTTTAATTATTTTTTTTGTCTTACCGCGTCTGCAATGCCTCGGCCGACGGTGCCCATCTGGAAGTCCGGTACGGCCTCGGCCAAGGCTGAGGCGATTTCGATCGCAGTTTCAGTCAGCATCGTGGGCATCGGGCGTCTGGAAGCGAGGCGGACGATTCAGATGACATTTTGACTACCTGCGTTCTTCTAGGGCGCGGACGCGCGGACTGAAGGCCTACCTGGGCGTGGGTTCGGGGGGTTGCTCGGCCGGTGCGACGTGTCGAAGCCACTCCATGAGGAAGGAGACGAAGTCGTCGCTGAGCTGGAACAGCGGCGCCTGCTTCAAGTTGAGCTTGATGAGCACGTGGTTCCAGGGCTGCTGGCACAGCGTGGGGCTGCGAGACATGAGTCCCGCGAGGGCGCGCCACACCGCGTCGCTGTCCTCCGGCTTGCCCCGCACCTGGAAGAAAGACAGTGCACTGTCAGGGCAGGACAGAGAATGGACGAGACGCGGGGCAACGCGGCGTACAGTGGGCCAGAAGACCGGTGGGGGTGGCCACTAGACGCGTTTTGGGCTGCAGTCACTAAATGGGACTCGAACCGAGCGTGTGACCCCACCAATGGATTCCATGTTCGGAGAGCAGTCCATTGGTGGGGTCACACGTTCGGTTTAGCGACTCTGGAGCTTAAAACGCGTCTAGAATTTCGGCCGCCTCTTCCGGCCTTCTGGCCCACTGTGTCGCCTTGTCACCTTGAGGGCCTGGTTCTGCAGCATGAAGTACAGCGACTGCAGCATCTCCGCGTCGTCCTCGAGGATCAGGAACGGGTGCTGCTTGGGCTTGAGGACCTCGAGCAAGAGCAGCACGCCGGCGGACGCCACTTGCAAGTCCCCGCTGCACACCGCCAGCAGCAGCGTGCCCACCTCCAGTGGCGTGGCCGCCTGCACCACCTGCAGCAGGCCAAGCAGGCCAAGCAGGCAGTGAGACGGAAGAGAAAAGACGACGCCTCATTCGCAGCGCACAAACTTTCGAGCAAAAGAGGCAGTTTGGTCGTACCGGCGCCTTGAGCAGGGCGTTGTCCTCCTCCAGGTGGCGCAGCAGGCTGAGGGCCGTGGCGCAAACTTGGACGTCCTCGTCGCTCGCGGCGGACAAGACCGCCTGCGCGAACCGGGCGTCGCCCAGCAGCGTGGCGTGGCCTGCGAACGGGAACAGCGGGGACAGGCTCAGTTCCAGCTCATTGGGTGGGGCGGAGGGAAAAGTTGCCTCGGGAGGAGGCTGTTAGACAATGCGGGGTCTAGTGCCCTCTAAAAGGCCGGGTAAAGTTACGTTCCGTAAACGGGGGAAAAGTACGTCAAAGACACTCGTACCTCGCGGGTCGCTGCGACTGCGGCCGTCCTCCAGCAGCTTCCTCAGGATGTACATGGCGGCGGTGAGGTGGCGGGGCGTGGCGAGCTGCTGCCTGCCCAGGACGCCGCCGAGGAGGTTGGCGACGCGCAGCGCCATGTCCGCGGGCGGCGGCTGGTACACCTCGGCGGCCAGCCAGACCAGCAGGCCGCAGCTGTCGGCGCTGGAGTCCTGCACGGCATGGCCCCCGCGGCTGCCCCCGCAACGGGACAGCGACAGTGGCAGGCGCCCCCACAGCCCCGCGCCCAGGTCCGCGGCCACGGCGGGCTGCGCGGACGCGGCCTGGTGCAGTACACGCGCCGCGGTGTGCGCCACGCGCCCCGGCGCCGAGGTCACCACGTCCTGCACAACGTCTGGCTTGGCAAGGAAGTCAACGAGGACGGTAAGCCCCAGGCCGGCAGTCTCTAACGGCCTCTTACCAGCAGCGGGTGCACCGCCTGCCTCTGGGTCAGCACGATCTCGAGGACGGGCGCGGCGATGCCGACGGCGTCCTCGTCGCTGGCCTCGCCCTGCGACACCTGCGACAGCCACAGCTCCAGGACGACCTGCTGCATCCGCGCGGACACGGCCGAGGCCTGGAAGGCCCAGTACAGCAGGCAGGGGTGCGCGGTGAAGGCCGCCGCCAGGGTTCCGCGCACGTCCGCGTCGACCAGCAGCTGCGTCAGACGGCAGCTCGCCGCCCGGGCCGCCTCCGTCATGCAGTCCGTCGCCAGCACGCAGTTCACCTGGAGCAGTACAAGTGAGGGGCGAGGACCTCGTGGTCGCGCGACGCCGAGGTTTGGGACCTTTGGACTTACGGCGAACGACACCCACACCATCTTGAGCACGCTGGCCGGCACGCGTTGCGCGGACGGCCCGTGCGGCAGGCTCAGGACGTAGGCAGGCAGGCTGTCGGCGAGGAGGAGCTGCCCATCCTGGCCGCCCACACTGCAATCAACCACACGCCTCTGTCTCTCTCGCACTCACAGGGCGTCCTGGGGGCGTGAGAGAGACAGCCTCCACACACTGCACTTGCCTGCCCACGACGGCGCGGAAGTACGAGTGCAGCAGCACCAGCAGCTGCGCGGCGGCGCGAGGGCCCGCGCTCGCGTCCAGGGGAGCGAGCGGCAGGTAGCCCCAGCTCTGCAGCACCCTGGGCCACTCCAGGTTGGTGGCGGGGAGCACGGGCGCGGCGGAGAGGAGGAAGGCCGCCAGGTCCGTGGCGCCGGGGCCTCCGGTGCCGCCGTCGGCCCACGGCGTCCACCAGGCCGCGGCGTCCAGCAGCTCGGCGGCGAGGTGTGCCAGCATGGAGCACAACAGGTTGAGCGCCGCGTCGCTCCGCCTGCGACGCGAAGCACAAAACAGCCGTGGGTGCGAACACGAAGGGGGAAGCGAAGGGGCCGAGCGAACTGGACTCACTTAAGGACTTAAGGACTCTAGACTCACTCTGTTCGGTGCAACGCGGGCAGCAGCCACAGGAAGTCCTGGCAGGCCAGGGTGTCCGCCAGGGCCACCGCGTCCTTGCCGTGCTCCAGGCTCGTCACCAGCGCGTCCAGCAGCACCCAGGTCATTCCCGGCTGCGCGGGACCCCGCTCATACAACTCGTCCAAGCCCAAAACGACCTGGAAAGGGTCACCGTTATCCACTGACCGCCGGAAGGACCTGGACTATCCGCTGCCCGCTGAGCGCGCTCACCGATTCCTCGTCGCTGGACTCTATGCGCGCCCTGGCTGTCTTGACCACGATGGGCAGGCACTTGTCCAGCATGACCTGCTGCATCTCGGCCTCGAGCCGCTCCATGGTGCGCAGGGCGTCGTCGCACTCTACATCGCTCAGCTTCTCGCAGGCGGCGCGTACACTGGCCGAGGAAAGCTTTAGTAGAAAGTAGGCGGCAGGCGGCACACAGTGGGCCAGAAGACCGGTGGAGGCGGTCAACATTCCGGACGCGGTTTGAGCTCCAGAGTCGCTAAACAGGACTCGAACCGAACGTATGACCCCACCAATGAATTGCTCTCCGAACAGGGAATCCATTGGTGGGGTCACACGTTCGGTTCGAGTCCCATTTGGCGACTCTGGAGCTCAATTTTGGCCGCCTGGCCCACTGTGCGGCAGCAGGTGGTTGCGTCATTACCTGGTAATGCGGGCGGCGATGGCGGACAGAATTCCGCACGCCCATTCCGCAGTGCTGTTCCGCTCCTCCTCGTCGAGGCCGTCCCCCTGGTCGCCGCCCTGGTTGTCGCCCGGGTGCAGCAGGCCCTGCAGGGCGCTGCTCACGGCGCGCACGCACGAGGCGATGGTGACCGCCAGGCCGGTGGGGTCTCCGGGCTCGCCGCCGACGGACACCACGCACAGCAAGGAGTACAGCATGTTGGCGACGCACAACGTCGTCGGCGGGGAGGCGCAGCGCGCGTCCAGGACCAGGCGCAGCGTCGACAGCAGGCCCTGCGGGGGACACAGGTTGGAGGCGCACTGCGCCGACCTCAGCACCGAGCGCCATCTACAGCGGGAGCGAAAAAGGCGAATCAGAAATCGGCGCTGGGCCTTCCCTATGCATCGGGCACGCCCCCGGCTCTAGAAGAAGATCTGCGGCACGACAGTAGCCACCACAGCGCAATCGCCGTGGTGCACTGGAACTTTGTCGCGGGGCAAGGGGAGGGGAAGGGAAGGGGTGGCTTTGAAAGGGAGATGAGGCTAACATTCCACTGTATCCCCATTTCACAATCAGGTGCCCAGCTAAATAAAAACAAATCTTATTCGGAACTGAAAATGGAAAACCTGATGAGTCTCCGCCCTGAATCTCACCTTTCAAGAAGTGTCGATACAAGTCGAAGGATGGCTCGCAATGCTGACTCACACTCCGCAGATTTGCTAGACACCATCAGAGCCAAAAAGTGGGCACGCCTCTGGGCTGCTTCCACTGCAACGACTGCATGGCCCTCCAGAAGCATTTTGTCGCTGTCAGAGAGCAGCTCTAACACATACGTGAGACGCCTGTCGATAGAATTGTTGCTCACGTACAGGGCTTCCTTGTAAAGTTACAATGTAGAATACTCAAAGAGAAAAGCCCTACTCTCGGGTATGTTACTAGTGCACTCACTCTAGTAAAGGCCATGAATTAGTTGACATGGCATCACATAGAAAACCAACCATGTCCTCTTCCAGCATAAATTCTCGCAGAGGGTATGTACTGCCCAGAGATTCATCCTTCAGACAACATTCCAGAAGATCCACAGCGGACAACTGGAAATGAGAAGGAAACATCACGGCCATTTACGAAAGTGTGTTTCATTCCCGCACACATTGAGAAAAGCTGTCACGACCGTTACCATTGTCTCAGAACACCTGCTTCTCAGAAGTTTCTTGATTTCATAAAGTGCTTCGGCATTCAGAGCCTCCAAACTTTCCCGAATGTTCGTAAGCATATTGGAACGATGTAAGTAGCCTTCAACAAAACGTAAAACGTATGCTTCCCAAATAAAATTAGCCGTATCCACAACACACATGTGACACTGTCGTTAACTTGTTCAAATGAAAGCTCTAAATTTCTCATAAGGCGGCAGAAACAAGAAGATCGATATATCGATATATCAACTTCGATAGCAATCGCTCTCTGACGTCATCCGCCTCTTTTTTCGTTCCTTTCTGTTTACACTTGTCATTAACAAAACTTCAAGGTTGATCTGACTTAACAAACCAAGGACCTCGCCATTTCTTGATCCCAACGTGTTCAAATTTTCTTCAAACATGGTAACGTGGTCGATATTTCAATTGTCATTACGTTGTGTTGACTTTATTTGACTGGTGGAGGTTATGTGTTTGCTACCATTGGTGGAGATATAGAGATAGTGATCCTTACCGAAATACCCTTGCTCTCGCTCTCTGTTATCTCTCCAGCTTGTTTTGTTTTCCTCTCGGTCACTTTCCCTTGTAAGAGGGTGTCGAAAAGTTGTTTTTTCTACCCATATTTACTGGCGTTCCTCAGTGAAATTTCATCTCAAACGATTCATTTATCTCCCGCAGGTTAAGAAAATGAGCTGGCAAGTTTTCTGGTGGGTTATCAGTACAATATGTATACCAGTATCATTGCCTCTTGTAACAATGCATCTGTATAGGCGTTATCGCTTATATCAATTAAGAGGTCAACTTAAAGGCAAGGTAAGAGAAAGTTTGTCCTACTAACTGATAAGTGCTGCTTAAGGTTGTATCATTACTTAATAGGTCCTGTGCATCTACTGATTTAATTCTCCTTTGTTTAGGTTGTCTTAATAACTGGTGCCAGCTCTGGCATTGGGGAAGCACTCGCCCATCAGTTTTATCTTGCCGGTTGCAGAGTAATCCTCACAGCTCGCCGCCAGAAAGAGTTAGAAAGGGTCCGTGAGGACCTTCTCCGAACTCACACAGTATGTGCTGTCTCTTAACTTGTATTTGTCTGCCTTTATGTTCTGTAAAGTAATAGGAACAACTCTATTTAAAGCAGGTTGTGCCTGTTCACCAGCCAGTTGTCATCACGATGGACTTGGCTGATGTAAAGTCAATACCAATTGGAGTTGAAAAGGCTAAATCAATTTTTGGATGCATTGACATATTAATTAACAATGGGGGAATGAGTCAAAGAGGAAGTGTCCAATCAACAAAGCTGGAAGTTGACATGCAGATAATGCAGGTCAACTATTTTGGTCAGGTTGCTCTAACCAAAGGTCTGCTTCGATGTGATTTTCTCTTCCCTATGTTTTTGAGATAAAGTTATGACAAGTTTATTTTTAAATAATGCTTATTTTTTTCAGAAATTCTACCCCTTATGATTAACCGAAAAGGTGGCCACATTGTAGCTGTCAGTAGCATTCAAGGAAGAGTAGCAATCCCTTTCAGGTGAGTACCTCCACTTCAGCAACAGAATAGAATAGCTTAAGTTTTTATGCCTCTCAAATATTTTCTACAGGTCAGCATACTCTGCTTCCAAACATGCTCTGCAAGCATTTTGCGATAGCATGCGCCCAGAAATTGCTCGACACAATGTGCATGTGACTGTTGTTAGCCCAGGATATGTGCAGACTTCTCTATCTATCAACGCGGTCACTGGAAGTGGTCAAAAATATGGAGGTGATTGCTCTTTCATTGGAAAATACTTGTCATGTTTTATATGTTGGTAATGGTTCAAGTTCTTTTGTGTTTTTCTTATTCAGTGATGGATGAGACAACAGCTGGAGGCTATCCACCAGAATATGTTGCTGAACAAATCCTAAATGGGGTGATACTAAAAGAAAAGGAAATAATTCTTGCAACTAGTGGGCCTCGCTATGCTATTCTGTTGCGCTCATTAAGTCCGAGTCTTTACTTTTGGATCATGCAGAAGAGGGCTAATAAAATGTTGGCTGATGCTACAATGAAAACAAATGCTTCTGATTCAGCAGTGAGTAACAAAGCTTCATCAGACGTTGCAGAAAAGAACAAGAGAGCATAATAAATTCTGAACACTAGATCAATTTTTTTTATATTTTTTAAATATTTGACAGTGGAAATTTCCACTACACTGTAGGATAGCAATGATTTTGTGATAAAGTTATCAGTATTTGGAGTCCAGTGAGTTGCATGATTTAAAAAAAAAAGTGAGATAAGTAATTTGCTGACAAAAATATTGTGATCTGTACTGTAAAAGCTCACTCTCAAAGGTAAAATTCTGTGTTATATTGGACTTGTGTGACTTGTTGCCTCATCATCCAAGATTAAACCCTTATAAAATCAAAATGAGTAATGAATGATAAGTTGGTAATTTGATCCTCGCTCAGAGCATGGGACAGGGAGAAAGATGTGAAACACAAAATCTGCCTTCACATCGTTTTAATTATAAATAATCAAAATCAAAGTTCACATAAAAGTTTAAAATAACAGACAGAAACTGATATAAAATTGAAATATCACAACAAAAGTAAGAAATATGACGCACTGCTCCTCAAGTATCTTAGAATGACAAAAAAGCTTCCTAGTTCAACTACTTTGTACAGACTCTCCCAAGAAATTTAAATATTTTCCAAAGAAAATGCCATATGCACTCTCATTTGCTTACAAGGCTGACCATCTTGAACACAATTTTATGACTTAATTCAATAATTAGACTTACACTCAATGAACAACTTTATCACTGGACAATACTGCAGACAGTCAAGTTTCCAAAGAATCACAATAAGAAGTGGTCAAAGACATCACAAGATCAACAAAGTTCAAGTATTAATGGCTTTCTTGATGCTACCACAAGCCTTGTCAGATTCAAGAGGAAAATTAATGACATGTCATCAACAGTACTTGAGGACAGCACATCCACAAAGTTATACCAAAGCCAACACAGTACTAGTATATAATGCATGAAGTCTGTCCATGAGTCTTACAAACTCAACAGGCAGAACGTTAAAAGCACGTGATGGGAGGGTAAAAAAAAATAATTCAGCAGCACCAAACCAAATTTTGGATTTTGTAGTCAATTCATGTCAGATGGTGAGAAAAGGTTAATTACGTAGCTTTCATTTAAACATAAAAATAATGCCCAAGGCATTTCAAATTGAGGGTTGCTTTGGGAGGAAAGGAAGAAGATTATGATGTAGCAAGCAGTCTGAAGAGCTACATGCAGAAATTTTCCAAACCATCTGGTTAAAACCAAATAGAAATCTAAGTTTATTTTGTACAAAACACACTAAAGTTAAGGTAACATTATGGGGATAGAAACATTCTCTACTAACACTAGATTGACATGAAACCCAGATAACATTACATTATTATTTTCACAATGTTCTGAGAAAAACAAGTTTTAGTTGTAGAGCTTGAGCTGAAGTTGAAAAGAAAAGGGAACAACATTTAATCATCTAAGTTTTCTGAATTGAGAAGCATGCATCAGCTAAAGACATAGCCCAGAGGAACACAAAATTTATGGTGTACAAGTAGAAGAAGATTGGAGGAATGGCCACAATAGGAAGATAAAAGGAGGTACAATTTCTTCACATCAATCACCCAAAATAAGAAAAGTTTTATTATCAGTGATCAGTAGAAAGTACTGTACACTGCCACCTAAAGTTAAGAGCTAAAATTTGAAAGAAAACCACAAACTATAAAGTGAACATGATTCCAAGTTTACACATCTACAAGCATACCTCTGATCATAATGAAAGACCTCAATTCATGCATTACACACACACGCAATTTAATATATAGACAGAAAGAAAGAAAAAGAGAAAACTTGTATTGATGAAATCAAAATTCAATTTGCTATGACCATACTGTATGAAAATAAGAGTACACACAAACATTACATAAATAATAAATAGAATGTGCTTAGACGAGGAGCAACTACAGACGAACTCTAAATTGCTAATGCTCTTGTGTTTCAAACTGAAATTCAAATTTACATTTTTCAGAGCTGTCACAATACTGCTGTTTTATACAATTCATTTTTTTTTCCATGCTATGTGATTCCCATTCTGCACGTTTTCCTTCAGCTTACAGTAGTATTATATAATGCATTTAAAAAAATTCAAAACTAAATTTGACCAAAATGGTCTCAGTCTGAGCAGAGAGGGTCATAGCCTCTTGAGAGTGCGTTTTTTGTCCTTCATGAGTTTCTTTTTGTCTGCTGCTACCTTTTTGTCACTGGCATGTTTCTTAGCTGTTGGGCCATCAGTGCTTTCAGGTGCACATCCCTTGGGAACCTTTGGGGCCTACAACAGAAATAATTAGATTTTGTTCAAAGAAATGTTCCACATACCACAGTCTGCAAAAGTACTGACACATACCTGGGCATGAATTTCTGTCATCATGCGGGCTCTCTGGGAATAATCCTCATAGTGTTCCAGTAAAAGTTTCCCTGCTTCCTCATTTAGAGCTGATTCGGCATTGGGTACAATTAGTAGACATTTAACAGTCTGAAGAAGGAAACAAAATACATACAAATCAATCAAGAAAGTAGCATTATAAGTTAATTGCAACAACAGAGCATTAGAGCATTTTGCTTACAAGTAATATGTGTTTTATTCCGAGGTCAGGCCGCCAATCCTTTTTGAGTGTGTTCACACAGATTTCTCCGTTCTTTGCAACATTGGGATGGAACACTCTAGTTAAGAAAAATCCCTTTGGAGGGGCTTGAGGAAAGTCTTTTCCAAGGGCTAACTTAACTCGAAAAACACCACCTGCATATGGGGTGCCAGCTAATGGGAAAAGGTAAAAGCGTTGATTTTCAGCAATTGTAAATTAAAATTTAACAGGCAAACATTAAAAATATCACAAAAAACATGGTTAATAAACAAACCTGGGCCATCAATGTAAGCTTGAATATCTGTGATGTCTTCTTCATTTATCTGAACCTTGATACCCTCAGGAGGTTCTGTGACCAACTCATGGAGTTCTTTTGTCAACTGTCTAATGATTTGTGGTGATAGGTTTTCCACATTCGATATCTGAAATAAGAATAAAATATTCACAGTTATCCCACTCAGCTCAGGAAATGTTAAATCTATATTTTAAGCTGTATTAGCTACAGTCACAAGAGGTTCTTCCAAGGGCTGCTGCACTCGCAAATTGCTTGAGTTGGCGTTGAACGCGGCGTTGGACCAACTCTTGCAATTGAGCATGCAACCAGCCCTTCTGCAATATGGCAGGCCTACGGTTAAGATTCATGCTACACTATTCTAAACGCAAATTGAAATACTTCGGTCATGCTATAGAAACCATACAGCTTCTCTTGGATTCATCTGAAAAGTGACGCTATAATAGTTGCTGCAAAACCTTTAACTTCCATGCAAACAATTTGAATAGTACACCAACATGGAAGTTGAAACAGTTCAAAGAACTGACTAAATTAATACAATAAATGGTTCTACCCATACCAAGTACATTGAATGAATTCATGCAAGACTGAAGGGTAACACAACATCCTTCTTCAAAGCCTCTAGAATACACATGTAGCAAGCAGCGGTCCAAAATACCGAAGCACATGAATAGGTCTACTAGTAGCCACAAAGAAATGTATTCAAATCTCAAGAATCGAGAGAAACAGTGATAATCCTACTCAAAAACAGTAGCAACATAACCTTCGGAGTCTGAATCACTGTGCAGAACACTGTTGTTCATAGACATTCTATATTTCTACAAAACAATTAATTCCAACAAAATTTACAATTTGCGAGTAGAAAGACGCAAAAGAAATGAAAGAGGCAAATGAAAGAAAGATGGACACAATACTAATGTCTAACGGTCACCAGATACATCTGATGGTTTCAAAATGTTCAAGCTTCAATTTTAAGTCCCACATATATGAAAGAGATGTATTACCGAGCTTACTGCAGCCATTCGTGATGGAAAAGATACACCAAAGCAAGTAGAAACGTCAGGGCACAATAAAATTTTCTCGAAAACGAGGAACTTAATACAAAACAACTACTAACGTCACAACGGAAGAGTTGAGTTGATGTTTTTGTAAATCTACCCAGCAAGCTGAGTTCCATTCGACCAATCAGATCATCTGGGACAGGGTACGTTCTACTACAAGCATCTCCTCTTTTGGAACATTTTTATATGCATTTTTAGAGTGCTTTTTCTTGTAAACCATGCATTGTGAAATTTGAGGGAAAGAAGAATTGTGTAACTGAGGAACCGAAAAGTCTTAAGGGCTCAGGGAGTGGTTTTGGGAGTCATAGACATGATTGTCTATGTGGGAGTGGTCGAATATTGGACGGAAGAGCACTGTATTAAAATTTGGCGGGACTTTTAAACACATTCGATTGAGCGACTCGCTTCCCTCGCTTCGCTTGTCATGACTGCTTTGACGACGTTTTCGGTTTCCTTAGCAACCGCAATCCTCGCGATTAGTACGTAAAGGGCTTAAACGCACAATACGTTTTATCAAATACCTTGATAAGAAACTGATAAATAAGAGGTAATCATGGGTCCTAAAAAGAAGGGAGGCAAAGCTAATAAGCTTGCAAGAATGACGGACGAGCAACGAGAGAGGTACCTGCAGCATCGGGCTGCTATAGAAGAGGAGACCCGAAGGCGTAAGGAGCAGCTCATAGCAACATTTATGCGCGTAAGTTTGTGAAGAGAGTAAATACACTTTCAAAATTATTTTTTTAAGAAATATAACAAACTGGCTAATATTTTTTTAAATAAAAAAAAAACTGCATTTTTTATAGAATAAACTGAAAAGAGAGGAAGCCTTCACCAGAATTAATTCTGCGAAAATCAATCAGCACTGGCGTCATATTCTGCGGAAAATAAAATGTGCTGAACTGAGGGAAGACGTAGAGGTATGAGTGGTTGTGGCAGGTGTTTATATTTTAAAAAGAGTCCAAATATCAAGCTAATTGATTTTCTTAAAAATTAGAATCTCTGGCATAGTTTTGATCGTGTTATGGATCAGAAGAAAGTCCAGAAGGAGGAATTGTTGAGCAGTTTGGAAGTAGCTGAGCGGCAATACTCAGATACATTGCAGTCCCACATGGAAGTTGTTGAGCGGCTTATAGGTAACAATAATACACTACTGTTTCCACCGCAACAAGCATTCAACTACTAATCAGAATTGAAATATTTTAACAGAAGTGCATTCAGAACATGTTAACAATATGAAGGCATTGTTTAATGCTCAGCTAATTGACCACCTGAGTAGCGCTACAGATGAAAAAGCTTTAATCCATGTCATGTATGAAAGAGAAAACCAGAAGCTGCATGTGATACGAATGGCAATGGAAATGGACTTTCAAAGTCCAGAGCGTCAGCTTTACAAGTATGAAAAAGTTAATAAGATTTCTGAAATGAAGAGAAAGGTGGATTTTTTGTTTGTCTTTTTCATTTAAAGCCTTTGGCTATTTTGGTGTTTAGGCCTTGAATGAAGTTAGTGACTATTTTTACTTCTCAGTACAAAGAAGATTGGGAGAGTCTCATTTCTGAGAGAGAGCGTGCATTAGAAGAAATATGGCAAAAAATTCAGAACAGCCTCAACGCTTATGCAGTTGATACAGCCGCCAAGCGCAAAACTGTTCAACAATTGCGAAAGATGGACCAAGACTGGCTCCAAACATTAGCGGACATTGAGCGCACATCTGCAAGTATTTTGAAGTAAGACAGGATGAATTATCTGTACTTAAAACGTAAGTCAATATTTCATTCATTTCAGAAAAGAGTTGGTCAGATGAAAGAGCATGCTGAAAACAAAATGAATGAAATATCAGAAAACAACTCAAATCTACGCAAGCAAAGAGATTCAATGCTCCATTGTTTTAAAATGCTAGTTGAAAGAGTAGCAAAAGAAAAAAAGAAGGATGATGAAAAATTCCAGCATCTTGTCATTACAAGTGACGAAATCCTTAAGGTGTGTTTGCAAATCCATACAATTTTGATGAAAATGAACTTTGAACATTCTGTATATCTCCAAACTTGTTATCAATCTTTACAAACAGGATTTAGACAGGCTGAAGAACAAAGGGGAGAAGGCTCTTGCCGTGCTAGTCCTGTGTCAACGTTTTGAATCAAAAACTGAACAAAGAGCAGCACTTGTATCATTAAAATCAGATTCAGCTGCAGAGAAGTCAGGACCAGAGAGTGACACAAAAAGTAATTTCCTTGACTTGAGTGATGATGAAGTTGAAAGCAACATGGTTGACTTGGAAGAAAAGGAGGTAAATATCTGTTCCTACTTCATTGCTCAGCTTCTCCTAACAATAAAAAATGAAACCAAAATAATTACAGATGCGTACCTTTGGCAAATTGACAAATTTTTGGAAGAAATACAATAAAGTCCTGATTGAAACTACAAATGCTAGGATGCAAAGAGACATGTTGGCAATTGAAAATCAGCAGCTGAGAGGCACATTACAAACTTATCTCACAGAAATGTCACGTGTGGATTCCTGTGGTGCACCAACGGGGCATCGCATCGCCACTGGCCGGCCTCGCACTACACAACTTTCAGGATTTAGAACAACCGTGCGTATTGCACAGAGACCTGTCTCTAGTATTAGTTGGGGCCCTAGCATAACAAGTCGTGCTCTCAGTCCCGGTTCAAGACAAAGTGTAAGTCGTACAAGTTCCGCTGCAGCTAAAGGAACAGCAACCAGTGAACATTTGTCTATAGGTTCTTCCAATTCTGACCAATGGTCTATATGAATGTAAATATGAAGAGAGCACCATACATTCACCTTTGCCCATGTGACCTTACTCAGTGTTAATCTCAGTTTCAAGGACACATTGAAGGAAACACATTTTAAACAATCAATCAGGGATATTTAATCTTATAGTAATGAAAGCTCAGTGACATTCTTTGACATAGCACTAACTTTCCTTTCAAAGTGCTTTAGGTGTCACTGAAACCAGTTTTAGTCTGTGTGTTCATATTAGTAGAGACATTTGGTTTGTTGACAATAATTTTACTATATAAGTTACCTATAATTGATAATTTACTTTAACAAAGCTATATATGACACTGTACATATCAACAACACAACAAATGTAGAATGAAAACACTGGAATGCTTATTCATGTAAGCAAAGAATGTCTTGAAGCAGGACAATGGTTGCAAGCTATAGATGCCTAAATGCATCTCTCAATTTCTCAAAATGGCAGCAAAAGTAAGTTCCACTTGTACAAAATAAGAGATTTAATTGAACATGGAATGATAATGAGCTTTTACACTATGTTTAAAAAATAGACCTGAAAGATGTACCTGACACCATCCAAAGTGGAAAACAATAAACAGCAATCAGAAAGAACTTGATTCATTTCAACACCTTCCTCTTATATTTTCCAGCATATTAGTACATTGGTCCAACTTTAAATTTCATTCAGTAACAGCCAAAAAGAAAGGCTTATTTCCTTCTCGTGGCTAACTCATGGCATATAACAGAAGCCTGCACAATAGATTGTACTCTGGTGGGACATAAACAGTGTGAAAAAGTTGATAAGCACAGATCAACAAGATTTTCTGGTCCCACACTACCAGCAGTATGCATTCATTAATCATACTTAAAATGAGCCATTGCCATTGGAATTGAGAGAAACTGGAGACAGTCCTCAATGCTAGAAATAAATAACACATTGGTCATAAAATGAAAGAAATTAGATGGAAAGTACCCTGAATCTACCTATGTAAGAACACTGTACAAGGTAAATTGAATTATATTTAATGTATAGATGCGAGCACACTCACAAATCCACATAAACATACAACAAAACAAAGCAAACATATTGATATGTGCTTCATATATATTAAAAATTCAACAAACGGCAGAAAGTCATAACATTCTTAAACCATATCTATACAACTTAGGACATATATACTGTTGTAAATATTACAACAATCACAATTTACACATAATACAAAAACAGATTCATATCAAAATTGTTCAGAGTGAATAACTTGTACAAAAGTATAGACATAAAAAGAAACCCTCTTAAAAATATTTTGATACTTAACAAAGGCACTATAAAGTTACCAGTTAAAAAGTAAAATACACTATGACTTGACTGTACACTATTCTGATATGCATGCACAGACAGCTTGGCACCAGGCACCCTTTGTGCCTAATCTACAAATTAGGTCCATGCGAACCAACTGCAATGAGAAATGATGGGTCCAGGAGCACTGTAAAAGGAGGTCAAGGTCTCATCATCTTAAACTGTTTGTAAACTTTCGTCCTTTAAAAATAAGTATATTTATGTAGTATTAGACATTGTCAAAGAGAAACCAGGCAATACAAACTCTGTTTTTGAAAAAAAATGCAAAAAAAGAAACCAACAAAACATTCAACTCAATGTAGAACAGATTAACAGAACTGTGAAACTGGCAACTGCTCACTAATACTTGGATTTTCAAATGAAGGAATGTTCCAGATAAACAAACTCTACACAGAACACCTGAAATCACAAGTTGTCCATCAGCCATAAATTTATTGATTTTCAACTTGGGTAAAAACAGAAGAGCTATTCACAAAAATTTAATTTTCCAGCTCACAATCAATAATATGCCACATGAACACTTGGGCTTGAAATGGCACAGAAGTAAATCATAAGGAAATCTTCTAAAATGTAAGCACAATGAGCAAATAAAACAATGTTAGGGCTTGCGACCCTCATTGCCATTGTTTGAAACAATATTTTGAGTGCTGTACGTTACAATAAATCTCAAGTTAAAGGGTGGTTTGCAACCATTGCAGATGTCCCCAGCAAGTTACATCTATCAAACTAATTTCAGCAAATCAGACCACATATGCAAGCCATCCAAGTAAACAAAAGTCATGAGAATTGTTTGTCAACAAAATTTCTAAATGTTGCCCAATAACAATGGTCAACAATAATTCTAATCTTTTTTTTTTTTTTTGCTAAACTTTAAAATATAATAAAATGAAGTCAATCAAACTTCACACAAAGTATATTGTACATTTGGTTTGGTATGAGTCTACATTAGACATTAAATAAATTGGAATCCTTTGGTCAATATGTCAAAGTCATTCTCTTGATTTTATGTAGCATTAAGGGAAAACAACGGCGTCCAATCCTTGTAAACTGTGGGCCAGGCCACTCAATAAATTATAAAAACAACTGAATTGGTCAAGATCTAAATGTCTCCAGTACTTTACAATAGGAGGCAATCATTAAAAGTGAGTTCATAGCTTGTGATTAAAAAGGCCATACTTGATGCAACATAGTATGTTCACAACAAAGTGACACTAACAAGGAACCAGAATATTTAACATGAGTGGCCAAAGCGTGGAATCATTCAACAGTGTATAATAAGAGAATAAGGACAAAATTGCTCATTTTGTGCATCAGACTTTGACCAGGACAAGGACGCTCGTGTTCGAAATGATAGCTGAAATTTTAAATAATGTGAAAAATATACAAAATTTGAAAAGATTTCAATACCTACATAAAATATAACTTTCACAAAGCAAAACTCTGATACTCAAACCTGAAAGGCCTACTTCATCAATGCCTTTAGCAACAGCATCCATACATATAATATTTATCACAGACTCATTGGAAGAAGTCTCAAAAATAGTTCATATTAAGTTACTAACCATCAGTTCTTACTTCATTATCATTATTAAATCTATAGGGATAGTAAACACCCATTAATTGAGGTAAACTCTGAATTCTCTGAAAGGCCCTGTGAGTGACACTATAGGATGCACCACAGGCCTGCAAAGAATAGTGGTCCATGCATAAAAAGAAGATTTGCCAAATTTCACAAACTTTTCTTCTGGGGTAAATTTGGAATTGTTAAGTTGATGGCAATACAAGTAAAGTAAAGCATATGCCTGACATAAAATTTTAAACCTACAGAAAAATTAAGAAATGCTTCTGTCATAATGAGAATGGAATGAAGACTATATTTCTAGATGGAAGAGACTGGTTCTTCGACCCCTAGAAACATATGGCAGCTTCCGTGCAAGGAAGCATCAACCACCCTGCTCTCCACAATAATTATGAAATTTAGGTACATAGTCAAGGGCATTCACAGGCAAATAAAAACTAGCCACTGACGAGTTTTTACATGTCTGTGGACTAATTAAGAAGGGAAGAAAAAAAATAACTAATAAAGCATTGTCAACACCACTCACTGGGAAGTAGACTTATTTGGTTTAGATAATTAATTAGCTTGAAAGCCTCGATCTACTGATAAGATTTTGTCATGAAACTTGACAGAGGTGAGGAGGCTATGGACAAAATCAATGAATCCTGAGTAAGCTGAGAGGAAAGTCCAGCATGAGGTAATAAATAAAAATCAAAGAAAAAACCAAATAAGTTTACAAGTTAGTTTGTGATGGGTCTACAAGTCACTGCAGCATAAGAGACTGTAAATTTCTGTGTAATATAGTATCTTTAACTGCATTGAAGACAACTTTGATGTTTTCTGTGTCGACTGCTGTAGTAAAATGATGAAATAAGGGTTTCTTGGGATCCTTTTTCACTGACACAAACAAGTCTAAGGTGTACTTCTGAACATCTGAAAGTTTGTGAGGATCACCAGAAAATTCAGGGAAGAACCACTTAATGCTTGTTTCCTTTGACTGAACCTAAAAAAAATAGGCACAAATGATATATTAAAAAAAAAAACAACAGAAAAACTATAATAACAATGACTAATATCAGTTTAACATACCTTTTCAACAAGAAGATCAGTCTTGTTGAGGAAAAGAATAATTGACACTCCTTTGAACCACTTATTGTTTACAATGCTGTCAAATATAACCCGGGATTCCTCCAGCCTATTAGTTCGGCTGACAAAAGAAAGGTTGTTTAGAATTACAAATACGATCTGATCCATTGGCTTGAGACTTTTCATTCAACTGAAATGCAGAGAAAACTTACCGGTCTTCAACTAAAACTTGGTCAAACTCAGAACTGGAGACTAGGAAGAGAATAGAAGTTACAGTGTCAAAACACTGAAACCATTTTTGCCTCTGAGATCGCTGCCCTCCCACATCCACAAATCTGAAGGGAATTTTGTTAATGTTGATGACAAACTCTGATATCCCCTTGGTTGCTTTCCGGGCATGAAGAATATCTTGATTTGATGGAATGTAGTCCTGCAAACAAGTACAAAAATTAAGAAATGGAGACGTGTTGACTCAAATTAAAAGAGACTGAGACACAGTCTTGAATAAACATCCCTGACTTACTATTTTTGATATCCGTTCCAGGTTGTCAAGGAAGTACTGAACCGAGTCACTCTGAAATAGTGTTAAGAAGGTCAATAACAAAAATTAAATGTCACTTGTTGAAAAGCCATGACACCTGTTGCTCACTCTGAAACCGGGCGGTACACATGAAAGTACACATGAACCTGGCATTTTCCATTGAGGACGTCCAGTTCCAGAGTGAATACAATGAAATCGCGTCATGGCCAAGGAATATTTTCACAAGAATAACAAAACAGGGTTAGGGTGACAAGACAGAAGAGGTTAAGTTTTTGAGGTTATGTCGACAAACTGTACGTACCAGTTGAAATTCTCGTCTTCTCTCATAGGCGCGTTTGATGCCAGTATCTTTCCAGAGACTTTCTAGTGCTGGCACGTAATCTTGGAAAATACTTGCATCCAATGCCTCTCCATTTTGATAACTGAGGACATGGAGACCGTGCTTACCATTGCGAGGGTTCTCCCAAGCGATGGATAGCTTGTCTCGTGCATCAACAAGCACTTTCATTCCCTTGACCATATTTAAATAAATGACATGCTGATATTCACGCATTAAATCCGGCTCGAACTTCAATCCATGGATTATCCTCATCTGTTTGAGAAATGTTGACTTTCCACTCTCTCCCGCTCCAAGCAGCAGTAACTTCACTTCACGTTTTTTCGATTGCTTATCCTTTTCGATCATTTCATCAATTCTTTTGCTTGTGATACGCGGATCCTCATCTTCAGGACTAAATTTAAAGCGCAGACAGCACGCACACGACCAGCTTACGGTCGCCATCTTTCAAACTGCTTGCCTCGCCCTTCCAAAGAAACACACGATGAGGAGGCACCCAAAACATCAGGCAAAACATTGGAGCCTGAGGAGGGGAGGGGGAAGGGGGGGGGGCCTTGGGAGATACCCCACGTCATATGTATGACCGAGCTCGAGGAACTAGGGAGGGACCGTGAGGATAAGCCTGAACAAACTGGTAGCGGATTTTGCATTGCAAGAGAATTTTGTGAGAAATTCATGGAGTTGGAAACCGTGAATGACAACACATCAGTTTCAATAGGCAGTTTGGTTCAGAAATAAAATGTTTCTCTGCATCCAGTGAGGGACAGTACATGTAAAGAGAAAGGTAACAATTCTCAATGAATTCATTTTTTTTATTTGGTCAAGCTTTAGTACAAGTAGTATGCCTTTTAAGTTACACCAAACAACAGAAAACATTTCTTCAAAATCAATTCATGGACTATAGACCAAATTTTTTTTCAACATATTGCGCAGCGCACACTGAACATGAATTTTCATATGTCAAGTTTATGTTGGAGTGCTGTAGATGACTAAGTGAAGAAAAAACATGATTGGTAAACAAATTAAAAAAGAATGTGAGATAGACATCATTCAATGGCACAAAGGAATCTCCCAAAGTAGAGTTTTAAGTGAAAACTGGACAGGAAAGCACAAAAAGGAATGACAAAAAGTTTCTTTTGAAGTCGTGTCTACAGACAATATGATTTCAGGAAACTTAATTCCTCTTCCGAGATCAATAAATATCAGTGGCTTGTTTGCTCTACTTTGACAGCCATCTTCAGTTAGAGACAGTCTTCAATTCTCACAGTTTGCAACTAAAGCCCTTAAATCATTATTCTAATATAACAGTCATTTCTGTGCAACTACATATAAAATGGCATCAAATTGTTCACGGACGGACAACTATTCGATGTCATTAATACAAGTTATGCATACTTCTTCAGCCAAAAAAATAATTGTAAAATACTGGAGTTTCTGGCAAAATACTGTTGGAATATTTGCTTTCACTATACTCCTCTACTCATCCTCATAGACAAATCATGAAATATTCCAACATTGTCTCTACAATAAAAGTACGGATTCTACAATTCATCAATGCTCAAATACTAACTAGGCCTGAATCAATTGTTAGAAAGCAGGTCAGTCATGAAAATCTCAATCTACAATTTATAAATGAGATTAAAATCACTATAATTCAAAGGCTAATTCTCATTCATTCCTCTTATTTTGGGAACAACTAATCAATAAATACAGTGCAAAGTAACATAATCACAAGTTTGCAAAAAATCCATAAAAGCAAAAATCGAATAAAGTGAAAGCTACTTATAGATACACTCACTAAAACAGGAACAGTAAGATGATACAATGTCAACAGAACATCTGTCACACAATTTTGGGGGGGAAGAATACAATCAAATGTTTAACAAAGGTAATAAGAGTTGAATTCACAACAATAAAGTTGATAAGAATATAATTCACCCAAATGACGAAACGTTTACCACAATCATAGCATAGAAGTTGATATTGTTAAAGTATGCTAATTAATATCGCTGATGATCTAATTTGTTTTAAGCAGCTCCAGTTACAGGTTCAGATGCAATGCCTATTTCTACTCTCCCATTGACGGACATATTGCTAGTCTCACTGCATGTTCCATCATTGGAACCGTTTAGAAGCGGTATATGATTTGATTTTGCAGAGTCTACTTGACCTTCAATTTTCTGAAGAGCTTTAGAATCCATCTGGAAAATAACAAGGTATTAATTATCAGATCTGAAAACCAAAATCAAGCAGAATTGACGATGAAGGTGGTCTGAAACATGAACTTACTTTTGCTTGTCCATTGCAAATTTGACTGGACTCATCTGTTGGATTTAAAGGTCTGAAAAGCAAATAACAATAGTGTGAGAACATAAATATTATTACAGGCAAGGATAATTTACTTTCTATGAGGACGTACAGTTTTTTTGAGTGTACAGTGTCACTTATGGCACGCAAAACTCTGGTTATCAGAGAATCAACATCGAGAACTTGATCCACTAGATGTCCAGGCATCTCATCTCCTGCATTTGCTTCAGTTTTTATTGCTTCTTCTTGAAGTCGACGGAAAAGAATAGCAGCAGAAAGATTTTGAATACTTTCACTATTCACCAGACGAGCAGAATTTAGATTCTGGGAGGCAGTGGTAGCACTCTCCCTTTGGCCGCCTCCTTCTTCCTCAAGCTCTGGTTCTGTCACATTATCCAATGTTTGGAAATTGTTCTCCAAGTGCAAGCCTGTATTTAAAGGGACAAGGGCATTAGTCAATGGAAAAGGTCCCCCAAAGGTAAAAAAAAAAAAAAACGAAGAAAAAACTTACTTAGAGGCCTGCAGGCTTCTTTAGTACGTGTTGTGACTGCTTCTGCTTCAGTGGTCAAAGCAGACAAGGCTTTATCCAAAGAACTTTCCTGTGGATGTAATAAGATTTGGTTGTTGAAGTCGTAATCCTTGGCAAAAAATAATTTCTCAAATATCATCACAGCTAACCTCTAGTTGGACTGCTAGGTCATCGAGGCGAGAGCTCAAAGCTGAAAGAGCAACAGAGGCTCCTGATACAGCTGCTCCCTGCTGAAGGAGAGACTCTTTGGATCTTTGTTCCAATGCAGCAACTCGAGCCTGCAGAGTAAGAACTTCTTGCCTGCAAAATAAAACCGAATAATAAACCAAATGAATGACTGATAGTGAAAGGGACAATTGCTTCATGTAGTACCATAAGTAGTACTGTACCTGCGTTGCTCACTGATACGAACTAGATGTTGACATTCTTCTCGTTGACGCTCTAACTCTAGATTCAAATTTGCAACAACCTCCTTTTGAGCCACTGCCTACAAATTGTTTAAAAAGATGGTTTACAGTTAGTATTCCTAGATGAAGTCATTACATGCACAGTATTAGCAAGATTGATCCTTACATCTTTCTCAGCTTCTTGAAGACTTTCAGCCAGAGCTGCATTTTCTAATTTCAAGAATACTTGCATTTCTTGTGATTCTGCCTCTGTTTCTTCCTGCTGATTTTGAAGGCTTTTCCGGAGCCTCTCATTGTGCTCTACTTCATACCGCAGACGTCCAATTTCATTTCGTTGCACTGAGTCTCGTTTCTTAATAGTCGCAGCTCGCTGTTCTAATAACTCCAGTGTCTTCATCCAAGCTGTCAATACACCAAAGAGTTGCGATTTACTTTTTCAAAGATGAAGAGGAGGCTGGAAGGCAATTGTGCTTCGACAGGCGACAGGCGAGGCCTACCTGAGTGATCCACTTCCTTTGGCGGGGTGTGCACCGTGGAGGTGATGCTGCCTCCGGGCCCTCCGGGCGAGCGGGGAGTACCCGAGTGCTCGAAGCCCAGCATGTCCATGATGGCCTTGAGGCGGCGGTCCAGCAGCATCGTGGCGAAGTCCTCCCTCTCCCTGTCCACCTGCACGCCCTGGTGGCTTTGCTCGCGGGCGTCGATGGGGCGTAGGTGGCACGCCCTGCCGCCCAGCAGGTCCTCGAGGTCCTGGTAGGTGAGCGCCGTCTGCGCGCCCGTCTCGTGGTACAGCGTCACCTTCTGTTTCCTGGTGGACTGGGACTGCGTCGAGGACACTCTCTCGCCGCCAGCGCTCTCTACAGAGCGCCGCCGCCGCCTCCGGGGAAGAGTCGAAAACTTCTCAGACTGGAACAAACGAACGGACCAGTTATTTCACTCGGTTTCAAGTATCCCACTGAAGTTTCAACAATATAAAATGGTTCCAGGCATAAAAGCAGCTTGTTTCTGCATTACAGACCTCTGCCCCTCTCCCCCTGCGGCCCTCAATGCCCACCTTGGACTCGGTGGGCGAAGGCGTGGACGCCGAGTTGGTGGAGTTGACGCTGGTCTTGCTGCTCGAGCTGGTCATGCTGGCCATGTTGGCCATGGCGTACCGCCGGTCGCGGTCGGCGGCCACACTCGAGGCCCTGGTCCTCGACAGCGTGGTGGGCCTCTGGACGGTGGAGGGCCAGCGGCCGTCGTCCGTCGAGGTGGACATGGCCACGGCCGAGGTGGCGCCGCGAGGAGTGGGCCGCGGCGCCGCGGGAGCCCTGTCCGCACAAAGCCGTCGTCGTCAGCACTGACACGTCGCGCTCGAAGGTCACAACAACAAGTGCTTCAAGTACAGCAGGCTACACTCAAGTACCTGGTCGTGCCCCTGCCGCGGACGTTGCTGCTGCCGCTGCTGCCGTGGGTCAGGCTGCCCGTCAAGCTGGCCGTCATCAAGTTGGGGGCGGCCGACGACGACCCGGAGCGCTGCGACCGCGACGTGGTGCGCGCGGCGGCGTGCGGAGCCTCGGCACACGAAGAGCCTTGTCGACCCTGAGGAGGAAGACGGCCGAGATTAGTTAAGTGCCGAGTGCTTCGGCCAGCGAGTCGCTCCAAGTCGTTGCACAGTGGGCCGACCAGTAGAGGCGGCCAAAACTCTGGACGCGTTTCGAGCTCCAGAGTCGCTAAACAGGACTCGAACCGAGCGTGTGTCCCCACCAATGAATTCCTCGTTCGGAGAGCAATCCATTGGTGGGGTCACACGTTCGGTTCGACTCCTATTTAGCGTTAGCGACTCTGGAGCTCAAAATGCGTTAAGAATTTTGGCCCACTGTGCGTTGCCTACCCTGGAGCAGCTGGATCCGCGGCCCGCGGCCGCCGCCGACCTCTCCCTGGGCCTCGGCGCGGGCACGGGCGAGCCGGGGGTGTTGGGCGCCGACCCGGAGGACGAGGCCGACACCACCACGGACCGCGACCGGGGGTGGCCGGCGCGGCCCGGCGTGGAGCACGACGCCGACGACGAGGCTGACGAGGCCGAGATCTTCTTCCGGACGGGCGCGTGGGAGAGCACGGAGGACGACTCGCTGCCACCTGCAACAACGACGACTCCGTTATCACCACGGAAAAACAACAACATCTCACAAGGTTTCTTTCATGCCGCGTCGCTGTGTGGCTGGGCCGAGGGCTGGGCGTAGGGGAACGCCCGCCCGGATGAGACAGGCAACCCTCACGGCACCGACGCACCGCGGGGCTGCCTACCTTGGCGATGGCGGGGCGGGAACGGCGGGCGCCTATGCTGGACGTACTCACCCTCACTGGTGCCGTCGTAGTCCAGGTGTGCGGGCGGCAGCACCGGCGGCGCCCCGCTCGCGTCCAGGACGGGGGACGCCGACCGCTCGGCGCCGTTCAGCTCGACGCCGCTGTCGCTGCCGTCCTGCTTGGCGTCCTGCTTCGAGTCCTTGAGCTGCTTGGCGAACGCGTCCCCCACGATCGTCATGTCCGCCACCATCGTCACCTCGCCGTCGTTGAGCGCGAAGTCGCAGTCCGAGGCCATGGACACGTCGCCCGCGGCCTCCATGGCGTCGGCGCGGAGCTGCTTCCCTCACCGGCTGGCGCCCACGCCGCGCCGCGCTAGCCGCGCACAGCGCCCATGCGTGGCAGCCGCAGCACTGCAAAACCAAGAGAGCGGCGATTAAATCACCCGACAATTAAATGATTAAAAGCAACATCAACTTTGGCGATTCGTCTCGGCGTGATGGCGGTGTAGGGCGGTGCAGCGCGAGCGTGCCTGCCTTGCCCGGCCGCTCGGCGCGCGACAGCCAAATTGGCGCAGCGAGTACGGCGCTAATTTGGCGGGGCTCAACCCCGCAGAACCCGCTCCCCGCGACATGCATAATCACACGTTGCCACTCGGCGTTTGCAGTTTTCACTCGGAGAGAGACACGGCAGAGGCTGCCGGAGGCACCTGGCCACGCCATGCAAAGCAATCACACCGTGCCTGTGTGTGCCAGACAGACCATGCCTGTCATCCAAGTCTGTCCGACTGCAAGTCTGTCCGTCCGCCGGCCTGCAAGTCCGCCCGTCCGCTCGCCAAACCAGATCCAATGCGATGTGACCCCTGCCGGCCGGCTGACCCCTTTCCCTCTCTCTCTCCCTCGGGGGAGCACGAGCCTGGCGCTAGCCGGCCGGCCGGCCCGGAGCGGAGCGGAGGGTTCCTCCTGCTCCGGGTCAGCTAGCTCTCTCTCGCACGCACGCACGGGCCGTGGCGCAGCGAGAGAGACGGAGCGACAGGCACTGCAGCGGCCGTTCGTCATCGCGAGTAATCAGTCCATCATCGGAGCACCGCGGAGGTCACAGGTCACCTCGCGGTCGTGGGCCGCGGGTCATGGGAGCCTCCCCCCGCACAGTGTACAAGTTTTGTCCGCCTCCGCCTCCACCGGTCTTCTGGCCCACTGTGCCTCGACGAAGTAAAACCTAAAGGGCGCCGCGCAGTGTGTACACTGTCGGCTGGGCAGCGGTGCGTGCGAGCGAGTGCGTCGCAGTGCGTCGCTGTCCCTGCGCGATGGCCCGGAAAACTATTCCACTCCCATCATCATTCGGGCACCTCCGCCCTCGCCTCCGCCCTCCGGCCCAGCACGCTCATTCTGAGCAGCGCTTTCGTCGCTCTGTCTCTCTCGCACTCACGGGGACGCCCGCAGCGCGCGCAGGGGTGCGAGAGAGACAGAGCGACGCAGGGCGGCGACGCGGACAGGCTGCTGGGCTTTCGACGTGGAGTACAGGCCACAGGCCACAGTAAGACTCAAGTTATTGGAGGCAACAGCAACGGGCATCATTGCGGATGGTCTTCCGGCCTCGAAACAGACGATCAATTCATTCCTCGTTCGAAGTGCCCTCAAGTGTTGGATTCGAGGACCGCTTCCCAGCCAAACGGCGCCGAGTTATGCCACCTCAAGTTCCGGCAGCGCGTGCGGTGTAGTACACTACCCCGCCAACGCCATGCCGGTCCTGCAGTGCAATTGTCGGGCCGGTCTACCGCGGTCCCACGACTCCATCGGCAGCAACACGACTTCCTATCACCGCCACACTGGATTGCTCCGTCTCCGTCACACCCGTAGAGTACGCCCCACGAGTGCGAGAGAGACAGAACGACTCTCGGAATCGGTCTGCCGAGGGGCATTGCCTCTGCCTCGCTCCGCGTGGCTCCGCGTTGGTTATTGACTTGTCGGAAACTTCCGGGCCGGCCCCGCAGGCACGCCGACAGCCTCCATGGAGGCACGCGGCACGCAGCAGCAGACCGGCGGGCGGGGCCGTCCCCCAGGACGACGCCAAGGCCGTGATTACCGACGGGGGCACCGCGGCACGTCGCCGCCGTCGTCGCCGCGGAGGTGCAGGTGCCGCGTGCCTGGGGGTTCCACTCCGCCCCCTCCAATATTAATTTTAACAACTTGCCGCTGCACCCGTCATGTCTAGTCGGGTCCCCTCCGCGGCGTGGGCGGCGCACAGTGGGCGGAGGCGGACAAAACTCTAGACGCGTTTTGAGCTCCAGAGTCGCTAAATGGGACTCGAACCGAACGTGTGACCCCCACCACTGGATTCCTCGTTCGGAGAGCAATCCATTGGTGGGGTCACACGTTCGGTTCGAGTCCCATTTAGCGACTCTGGAGCTCAAAACGCGTTTAGAGTTCTGTCCGCCTCCACCGGTCTCCTGGCCCACTGTGCGGCGGGTTCTGACCCACTCACCCACACACCCACAGCCTGTCCGCGCGGCAACGACAGAAAATAAAATCAGGGGTCGCTGTGTTTACCCTGCCGCAGCCCGGACGGTGACCCCTCGCGGCCGCCTAGTCGCGCATCTCTCAAAATACCCGCCGAAGTCCAACTCGAACGAGATGCAGCGATGCAGCGCCCAGGGCGGCCGGGGGGAGGAGACAGAGGCAGCCAATCCTCGCGCAACAAACGACCAGTCCGTCCAACACAAACAAAACAGCTATTCTTTCCTGACCAAATTTTTTGTAAAAAAAAAAAAGGTTGTTCTACATTCCTTGCTGGCATGCGCCGCGGTCGGAGAAAGAGAGACAGAGAGAGATCCCGAATTAAAAGCCCCCTTTTGCTCCGGGGTCGTGGAGCAGTTGAAACCACGCGCGGCCCTAGATAGACAGAGAAACCGCAGAATGAAAATAACACCCCGCAACCGCAGCAGAAGCTGCAGAGGCAGTACACTGCAGGTGGTGCAGAAGCAGTGTAGTAGCGCCGTTTCGTCAAAGCCACAGGCAGGCAGGCATGCAAGCAGGCATTCTGCCACAGAAAGGAAAGGAAAAAGAGTTAATTTTAATCGGCCAGTGGCTCGGCTCAGTGGGCGCGGCTGCGCGGCTTTATCCGTTCCAGGTCGTTTCCGGTCCGTTTTGGGAGTTTTGAGAAGGGATCGTTTAAAAGGCGCCGAAAGGCCATACCGGGCAGCACAGTCGCATGCCAGATGAGCTGCCCCCACTCACTCTTCCTCTCACTCCCTCCCATGAGGATTGCCACGCCGTGCGCCGTCGGTACGTCTGGGAGTCTAATCTCACCACGGGCCATTACACTGGGCAAAGCAAAACCATCGAGGTACCCGCATTCCCCCCCCCCCCCAGGCCGTCCGGAGCGGAAACTAGGCAAAGTGGTCATCATCAAAGATTTCAATTAAGGACCTCCAAAAAAAAATTTTGTTTTTAAAAAGGCCTAAAGTCCCTGACTAACAAAAATCAACACAAAATAACAGTCACCCGGAAAAAATGGCAATAACTTATTTCGAACACAACAACAGGTCTTTTGTCGCGACTGACAATGTGGTTGCCCTCGGACATGTGCACCGCCGCACCCCGGCCCCAGCGCCACGCCTCGCCGGGGACAACAGTGGAACTCAATGGCGGCCAGACGAGCTATTGAAGCTGTACTTGTGCCGTACGCACTAGGCCACGCTAGGCCGATCGGATCGGGTTGCGTCACCTCACGCCGTGTCGCCGCTCGTCAAAACAGCCCTCGGGATTAATAACAGAAAGAGTACGGCCTTTTCTCTGTTCTGGCGGCGGAGCGGTATACGTCTCTAGAGTAATGGCCAATAGAAACAAGTGGGCAGTCAGTTAGCGGCCCGTTTAGCGAGCGCATTTGCAAGGCTGCGGTTTTTTTTTCTCCCTGCTCCCTGCCGCATGCACCGGGCGGGGCGGGTATCTTCTCCTCTCTCTCGCACTCGTGGGGCGTCGCGTAAGGGTGCGAGAGAGACAGGCAGCCCGCCAGGCACTGCCTGGCATCGCGTGCCCCGAGCGTCCGAAAGAGAGCCGGCAGCGACACAGAGGAAGGAAAAGTTTATCTCAAACAGAAACGAAAATGTTGATTGCAAATCAAGTCTCACTGCGCCTGCTCGCCCACTGTGAGGTCTAACCTGGCCAAGGCAGGCCCAAGCCACGACTCGGTGGGCCGCGGCGGAGATCCCCGTCCCAAGGAAAACCAAGAACGTAATTCGACTGTATACACCGATGAAAAGTAAATTAACTCAACCAATTTTCTTTTAAACTACAGCTGCCCACAGTGTAGTACTCGGCAGCACGGCGCTTGGCCGAGGCGGGCAGGCCGGGGCCTTACCACAGCCACTGCACGCACGCCGCAACGCATGCCTGCCCACCGCTACAGCGCAGGGCGATGACGCCGGTACGCTGGAAGCGAAGACGCCAAACCGAACCGGGTCTAGGCGGCAAGGGTAGGCTAGGCACCCCACACACAGTGGGCCAGAGGACCGGTGGAGGCGGCCAAAACTCTCAACGCGTTTTGAGCTCCGGAGTCGCTAAATGGGACTAAAAACTAAAATTTTATGTTGGAGGTTGGTTAGTTTGAGACTTGAAGCCCATACACGACTCGCGAAGAGTGACGGCGCTGGGAAGCAAGCAACTCCTACAAGTCTGCGGGCATACGGGACTCGCAAACTCCCACGCGAGTAGTCACAACGACGCTTCCCATTTTTCTCCGGCTTTTGCACGAGGGGGCAAAAACTCGGGATTTTCGTGTACACATGATTCGGAAAACGCAATGATTGCGCATGGTTTTAATTGATTTCATGGCTGATTTTGCCTTATTTCGCGACGCACCAGGGTGATGTTGAGCGTGATTGCGTGTGATTGTGTTCGGAAAGAAATGATTTCGGACTGATTTGGCCTGGTTTCGTGTGATTCTGCCTAATTTCGGTCGATTTTAGTGATTTTGGCTGATTTCGGATTGCTTGATTTCGCGTGATTCTCAATGATTCGCATGTGATTTCGGGGGCCGTGTACACATGATTGCGCGAGTTTTTGCCCCCTCGCTTTTGCAGCAAAGCATGGGCGGCACACGAGGCGAGGCATCGACCGCTAAACTAAACGGTTACCCGCCGCGGGAACCTGTTTGTTTAAGGATCAGGTGCCTTCGGCCCGATGCGCGATGCGCGCGCGGCCAAGGCTTGGCGCGGCTGGGGCTCGCCTTGCCGGCACCGCGACGCACCGCGACGCACCGCGACGCACCGCGACGAGGCCATGAGCGCCAGCACCGCGGGACCGCCGCAGAGTTCGAGGCCTGTTTAGCCGCTCTGGAGCTCAAAACGCGTCAAAAGTTCTGGCCGCCTCCGCCGGTCTTCTGGCCCACTGTGAACGCCGCGCGGGGTAGGCAG